TGAGAAGTTAATAAAATTAACCGGGATGGTTAATAAAATGCTATGCATGGGATAACGCAACCCTGGGAGCTGCCCAGCAGCATCTGTGAAGGGGCACTGCTGGGTTGATGCTGACACGCTCCTGGGGAGCGCTGGCTCGGCCTCAGAGGACAGCGGGATTTGGGCGCAATAGGGGACCCCATCCCCAATCCCCACCCGCACCGCAGGAGCTGCTCGCCGCCCGCTCAGCACTGGCTGGACGCCAACACAGCTGCTAAAGCCAGACTGATTTTATTCAAACTGCAAATGTAAAACAGAATAACAATAAAAAAAAAAAAAAAAAAAATCAACCCTCGATGGCTTCAGAGCAGAAAGCCGCAGGTAAACCACGCCCGGGCTTTCTTTCTCCTCCTTCACCCTGCCATGTTAAGGCTGCGTTTGTCACCGCTGACGGGAGGGAGGAGGGATGGGGCGAGCCCCACCTCCCACGACCCCCCGACTCCTTCATGGGAAGTTTGGCACAAATCCTGCGGGGCTGAGCCCAGTGCGGCACAGGGCAGGGCTCCGGCCCCGCGGCCACGGGTGTTAGTGGGTCAGCGTGAAGCTCCAAAAGCTACAGGATTACCTACGGGGCCGCAGCAAGGCGGCGGGAGGGCAGATGGGGGGAATGTGGCAGAAGAAGGGGTTCACACCCCCGGCCAAGGGGCCAAGTCTGTGGCACAGGGCTGAGTGTCCTCACCCCGGCTCGCACACGCGTCTCAACTGTAAACGGCAAGTGACAGTGACACCCAGCTCGCCCCAATCCCGGCCCCACGGCGAGGAGATCTAAAGGCCTGGCTGCATGTGCAATTTTGGGAAGCGCCTGCTCAGCAGCCCGGAGCCGAGTGGGACCTGGAGGCTGGGATGCTGCACCCCAGGGCTGGGATGCTGCACGCCGAGCGGTCTCGGTGCCAGCAGGGAGGAGAGAGCCTGGGACTACACCAGTGGGTTGCTGCCCTCCCATCCCAGGGGGTGCGAGGCTGATGAGCCCCCGCAGAGCTGCTGCGAGACCTGGTGCATCACTCCCAGCCGGCAGTGTCAGCCCCAAAAGCCTCTGCCAGCTTGGCCATTGCACTCGTATGGCTCTGGGGGACTCTCGGCATCCCCAAAAAAAGCTGACCTCCCGGGGGCACAAGGCCACCATCCCAGGGGACACCTCGCCCTGGATAACTGGCGCTCACAAGTGATGCGGGACCAGGCCCTGCGGGCTCTTATTGCACTGGGAGCAGCCAGACATTCGGCGTGGAAAAAGGCGTAAAATCGGGATATTGCTCCAAATCCAGCCCAGCCGGCATCCCCAGATGCATCCCATTACTGCCCAAAGTACGGGGCTAACTGATAAGGGCAAACGCCTGCCACCAAAAGCAGCAGCCCGGGGTGGGCATAATCGGGATGCTGGGGGTTGGGATGCTGCTCCCTCCCCACTCCTTTTGGCACACAACTAATAATTTGACCTGCTCCAGAGCCTGTTCCTAAATGTGAAGGCGGCCGGGTTTGGGGGGAGGGCACGCGCGTGGGGCAGACTTGGCCCCGGGCAGCACCGGTGGGCCGCTGCGGGCTTGGTCACGGCTCTCCAGCTGCAGCACGGTGGGGCGAGGGCGGTGGGGGCGCCCTGGCCCGGCCCCCTCAGTCCGTTTTCCACACCTTGTTGAGGAACTTGACCACCTCATCGTAGATGACGAAGACGATGGCCACGTCGAGGCAGACGCGGCCCAGGCGAGGCACGGTGCCCTTGTAAAACCTGCCAGAGATAGAGGGGGGCTGTGGGACTGGGTGCCCTCGCAGCCCCGTCCCCGCCAACC